TCAGTAGCATGTTGTTTAATATCCACATGTTGTGGTTTTCTCATCTTTCTTCTTATAGTTAATTTCCATTTTCATAAAGTTGTGGTCAGAAAATATTCTTGGTATGATTTTAGTCTTCTTAAATTTATTGAAATTAGTTTTGTGTCCCAACATACAGTCTATCCTTGAGAATGTTCCATATGCACTAGAGAAGAATGTATATTCTGTTGTTTTGTGATAGGAAGTTCTGTAAATATCGATTATGCCCATTTGACCTAGTGTTATTTATGGCCAATATTTCCTTATTAACTTCTATGATCTATCCATTGTTGTCAATGGGGTATTCAGTCCCCAACTACAATTGTATTTTTGTCAGTTTCTTCCTTTATGTCCGTTAATAATTGTGCTATATGTTTTGATGTTCCCAGGTTGGGTGCATATATATTGACAAGTGTTATATCTTTTTGACATATTGTCTCCTTTGTCGTTATAACTGTTAATTTCTGTCTTGTTACCTTTTTTATCTTGAAATCTATTTTTTTCTGATATAAGTATGGCTACACCTGCTTTTCTCTGGATACCATTTGCTTGGAGTTTCATCTTCCACTTCTTCACTTTGAGCCTATGTTTGTCTTTGCAGCTGAAATGGGTCTCCTGAAGGCAATATATAGTTGGGTCTTGTTTTTTAATCCATTCCACTACTGTGCCTTTTGGAAGGCAGCTATGCTCACCACAATACCACCAACGCCACTCTGTGCCTTTTGATTGGTGAGTTCAGTACATTTACATTTAGGGTGATTATTGATATATGAGAACTTACTGTAGCCATTTTATCTTTTGTTTTCTAGTTGCCCTGTATCTCCATTGTTTCTTTTTAATTTACTTTTATTGTTGACAGTATTATGGATGGCCCCTCTTTTCTCCCCCTTGGTCCCCAGCCCCTCCCTAGGTCTTCTTTTCCCTTGTGTTTCTGTCTGCCGTTTTATTATTTATTTATTTATTTATTATTTTAAAAAAAATATATCTTTATTGATTTTGGAGAGAGGAAGGGAAAGGTAGAGAGAGAGAGAAACATCAATGATGAGTGTCATTGATCACCTGCCTCCTGCATGCCCCTGACTGGGGATAGAGCCTGCAACCCTGGCATGTGTCCTGACTGGGAATCGTACCTCAATCTCCTGGATCCTAGGTCGATGCTCAACCGTTGAGCCACTCCTGGCCAGGCTCTGTCTGCCATTTTAGTATGTTGGTAGTCTGTGATTTTTTTTCATATTCTCTTTTATGTTATGTGTCTCAGCTCTAGATTTTTATTCTGTGGTCACCATTAAGTTTATGTGAAAAAATGTTTCATATATACAGTAGCCCTTTTCCTTCTAATTGCATCTTAGTCTTCATTCACTTGTGCAGTTCAGTCCTTTCCCCCTCTCCTTTTATGTTTTTGTTGTCACAAATTATCCCTTTTTATGCTGTGTTTTTGTTTCCAAATTGCAGAAGTTTTATAGTCTTTTAAAAAGTTTTTCCCCCCTTTTAGTCTTTATGTTAGAATTAGGTGTTTAATACTCTATTCTGAAATAGAATTGCAATTTCCTGCTTCTGTCTGGCATCTTACTGAACGGTTTGTATACTTTTATCTTTTTGTTTCAGGTAAAAGCTCTTTTCAACATTTCTTATAATGTAGGTCTTGTGGTAAATTCCCTCAGCTTTTTTTTTGTTTGGGATAGCCTTTATTTCTCCTCCATTTCTAAAGGATAACTTTGCTGGATATATTATTCTTGGCTGGTGGTTTCTCTCTTTCAGTATTTTGAATATTTCATTCTTTCTTCTGGCTTGTAAGGTTTCTGTTGAAAAATCCATAGTAATCTAATGTGGTTTCCTTTGTAGGTTGTGGGCTCTTTTCCTTTGGCTATCTTGAGAATTCTGTCATTAACTTTGGACAGTTTTTATATAATGTGTCTTAGAAAAGGACTTTTTGCGTTAAAATAATTAGGTATTCTGTTAGCTTGTTGAATTCGAGGGTCCAGCTCTTAGGTTTGGGAAGTTCTCATTGATTGTTTAAATAGGCTATTTCCTTCTCCCTCGATTCTCCTTCTGGCATAACCATTATTCTTATGATGATCTTTCTAATGGATTCAGATAGTTCTTACATTGTTCTTTGATATATATATTTTTTAACTTCTCTTTCTTCTACCTGAGTCATTTCTAGATTTCTATTTTCAAGCTCACTAATTCTTTGTTTCATCTGGTCTGTTGTTTCCCAGGCTGTCTAATGCATTCTTCATCTTAGTTACTGAATTTTTCAGCTCTAGAATTCCTGTTTGCTTCTTTTTTATAGTTTCAATCTCTTATTTAAGTACTCCTTTTCTTCATTGATTTTATTCCTGAGCTCATTGAAGTGCTTTTCTGTGTTTTCTTGTATCTTTTTAAGTTTTTTTCATAACTGCTCTCTTGAATTCTCTATTTATTTATTTATTTATTGACTGACTGACTGACTGACTGACTTATTTAATCCTCACCCAAGGATATTTTATCCATTGCTTTTCAGAGAGAGTGGAAAGGGTAGGGTAGGGAGAGAGACACACAGACAGACATTGATGTGAGAGAGGCACAGGGATTGGTTGCCTCCCTCACGTGCCCTGACTGGGACCGAGGATGGAGCCTGCAACTGAGATATGTACCCTTGACTGGCACTGAACCGGAGGCCCTTCATTTGGCGGGCTGATTCTCTAACTACTAAGCAAAACTGGATAGGGTGAATTCTCTGTCATTTAAATCATAGTCTTCCATGTCTCTGAGTTTGATTTCTGGGGACTTTTTATTTTCATTCTGAGCTACCCTGTTATCTTGGATATTTATGGTACTTGATGAACTGTTACTCTGCCTGGTCATTTGAGGTAGTGAACTTTTCTTTTTTAGGCACTGTTCTGTTCTTAACAATTTAGCAGGTTAAGTTGAGGTCTGTCCCCAGTAGACGATACTATAGTGCAAGTTTTTATTTTTTCTTACCTGTACTATTGCCCCCTCTGAGATCTCAGTAGGTTGATGGGGCCTTGGTCTAGAACAGGGGTGGGGAACTCCAGTCCAAGGGCCTTGTATGGCCCTCGAAATCATTTGGTCTGGCCCTGCCAAGGCAACCACAGGCAGGACTCAAAATTCAATAAATCTAGGAGCTTTTTTCCTAGCTGATTTTAAAGGTGATAATTTTTTATGGCTCTCAAATGATGTTATAAATATCCAAATGGCCCTTGGCAGAAAAAAGGTTCCCCACCCCTGGTCTAGAAAAATGCCTCGTATTACCTATGGAGGTGAGCATCCTCTCTGTGCCCTGGTTGCCTCAGTCTTAGGATACTATCCCTTTGATGGGATATGGCTGGTGGCGAGGCTCCGGCCTTGTGACTTCCAGTGCTGGCTCCTTGTAACTAGAGGCTGCCAACCAAGTTGTGGTATTGAAGCATCTCTGTTGCCTCTACTGGCTTCCGCCATGATGGGTAGGGGTAGGGGGCTTCTGAGTCTATAGCTTTGGCTTGATAGTAATGGTAGCCACTAGTCTACTGCTGCCTCACCGCTGTGCTACATGTTCACCCTTGTCACCAGGCTTAACTGCAATGGATGCTGGCCATACAGGCTGGAATGGTGCTTTTGTCCCTCTGGCCCTGTGGAATACTGTTTTAGGGCTGCATCCTGACTCCTTCCATGCTACTGCATCAGCTGGGGCTGCGGCAAATGCTAGACCTCATCTGTAGCCCCATCTCTGTTCTTCTTCCCTCCTGCCTTCCATGCTCATTCTACTACACCCACCTTCATCGTCTTGATGCATGGATCTCTCAGATGTGTGTGTTGGGCAGGGCATCATTTGTTGAATTATAGTTGTCCAACTTATAACTTCAAGGGGGAAAACCAAGTGGTTTTTTCTGTGATGCTGACATCATTGTCCTCTTTTTGTGTTCTTAATATTGTCTTCTGAAGGGTTTTTAATTTTGATAAGGTATAATTTCTATACATTTTTTTGTTTTGTGGATTGTGCTTTTGGTGTTGTAGCTAAGTCTTTGTCATTCAAGATCACAGACTAGAAGTTTTATAGTTTTGTGTTTTACATTTAGGTCCGTGATTCATTTTGAGTTAATTTTTTTTTAAAAATATGTCTTTATTGATTTCAGGGAGAGGGAAAGAGATAGAAACATCAATGATGAGAGAGTCATTGATTGGCTGCCTCCTGCATACCCCCTCCCGGGGGTCGAGCCCGCAGCCTGGGCATGTGCCTTGACTGGGAATCAAACCTTGATCTCCTGGGTCATAGGTTGATGCCCAACCGCAGAGCCATGCCAGCCAGGCTTGAGTTAATTTTTATATATGCTTGTTACTTATGTCCTCTTGACTGTTTCACATATAAGTATTCAGAAATTAAAATTGTTAAAATGTTCTTTAAAAAACCAGCATTCAGTTTAAATTATAATTTGGATGAAAAAGTAAGCATTTCTCTGTTGAGAAAATAAAATTATAAGACAGTTTAATATTTTGCAAGCATTCGTAATTAGTAGCATTAAGAAGCTACTTTTTCCTCCTCGAGACCTTCCTTCCCACTTGTTCATCTCTACCTGGACCTGTATAGTTCATCCCTTCTCTTCCAGCCTTTATGTAAATGTCACTGCTAGTGAGGCCTTCACCCAGTCATGCTATTTAAAATTGCAATTCCTTTCCTTTCAGTAGCCCTAGCTCTACTTCCTGCTTTATTTTTCTCAGAGCACTTTACTATTCTCTTTATGAATTTTACTTATTTATCTCCTCTACTGGGGCATAAGTTTCCTGAGGCAATGTGTGCCTGGCACCTAAAATGGTGCTCAATAAATGTTGAACAGAGTGAATAAATATATAAAGCTATAGGTGATATTTATCACAGTGTTAAACCTCAGAGCCTCTTAATAGGAACATACTAACAAAAGAAAATATGATAAATTATTTAAGATAATTTAGTAAACATTTGCTATAGAAATCTTTATTTTTATGAATTTTTTTGTTATTTGCAGGGTTCAGTTTGGCAAAGACTTGGTGCAGATGTGACAGCAGTTGAGTTTTTGGGTCATGTTGGTGGACTTGGAATTGATATGGAGATATCTAAAAACTTTCAACGCATCCTTCAAAAGCAAGGATTTAAATTTAAATTGAATACAAAAGTTACTGGTGCTACCAAGAAGTCAGATGGAAAAATTGATGTTTCGTAAGTATGCTACATTTGATTTTGATGATGTCCGTGTCTTTTTCTTTAAGAAAAACCTTCAGTTTTTCAGTATTTTTATAATTTTAGGTTATTTTCTTTTTTAATCCTCACTCGAGGATATTATTTTCCATTGCTTTTCAGAGAGAGTGGAAGGGAGAGAGAGAAAGAGACACATAGATGTGAGATACACCGATTGGTTGCCTCCTGCACACACCTGAATGGGGCGGAGCCTGCAACTGAGGTATGTGGCCTTGGCTGGAGTTGAACCCAGGACCCTTCAGTCCGCAAGCAGACACTCTAACCACTGAACCAAACTGGCTAGGGCAGGTTATTTTCTAACTTAAGACCATTTTATTGCTTAGTATAACTCAGTATTGTTGATCAAATCAGTCTAGCGAAATTCATAATTAAGTTGATGGTTGAAAAGTTAATCCAATGTTTTCATTTTAATGTACTTTTTCATAATATACATTCAGAAAAATTTAAACTCCCAACATTCAGTAAAGTGAATTCAGTATTTTTAGACAGGTATATGGGGAAAGCAGTAATGTTAATTAGATTGCTTATTATGTGCCTGGCACTCTGTTTATTAAACACTTTTGTAACTTTATGAAATAACTTGCCTAAGGTCACACAGTTAGTGAGTGACAGAATCACTACTGTACAAGTTATACTTGGATCTTTTTGACTCTAAGATCTATGTTCTTAACCCGTGTTATACTGTCTGTTTTTATAAGATTTTAATGATAGATCTCAAGAGAATATGTACATTTTTTTCATTGTCTGACCCTTATATTTATAATAAATAAACTATTAGAAGTGTCATCAATACTTGAGAAATGTCTGATCTAAAAATTTCCGAGTCTGTCAGCTATTTATGTAGATGTATGGTTAATAGTTATAACACTGTTCATTGTCTAGTATTGAAGCTGCTTCTGGTGGTAAAGCTGAAGTTATCACTTGTGATGTCCTCTTGGTCTGCATTGGCCGACGACCTTTTACTCAGAATTTGGGACTAGAAGAGCTTGGCATCGAACTAGACCCTAGAGGTAGAATTCCAGTGAATTCCAGATTCCAAACTAAAATTCCAAAGTAAGTTGTAAAATTAGCTGCGTTTTTGATAATTTTGAAGTTTATGTCTAACACTACCTTGAAAATAAGACTTCTTCAAGTTTAAAATATGCGTTGGCTTTGGGGAAAAGTAGTAAATTATATGTGAGAGCAAAATAATTGAGTTTTTCCATTACCCAAAATTAGAACACAAACTCCCCTATTTAAAGAGCTGTATTTAATATATTTTTTTGGTGACTTAATAACTAGAAACTTAATTTTGTGAACATGGCATAAATGAAGATTAGTATCTGTGATTTCAGTTTACTGTTTCTTTTGATCTCTGTTGTAGTATCTATGCTATTGGTGACGTCGTGGCTGGTCCAATGCTGGCTCACAAAGCAGAGGATGAAGGCATTATCTGCGTTGAAGGAATGGCTGGTGGTGCTGTGCACATTGACTACAATTGTGTACCATCGGTGATTTACACACACCCTGAAGTGGCTTGGGTTGGCAAATCAGAGGAGCAGTTGAAAGAAGAGGTAATCTTGAACTAGGGTCGTTTTACTCCAGTGTGTGAATTGAGTTAATGACACTAGTGACTGAGAATTATTTTATTAACATGTTAATATATTTTAATTATTATGTAGAACATTATACTTAGTTTACATATATATTTTTTCCTTAATATCATAAAGGAGATAATTCACTTGCCTGTATTCAGAAACTGGTAATTCCAGAGTTTTTCTTTTTGTCTTTGAAATATACACTGATAGACTGAAATTTGCATTTGCTTGTGTTTATACAAAAATATATTTCATTAGCAAGCCTTTTGGTATTTCCTTCTATATGTTCCATGAAGAATTACTTTCTTGGGATTTATTTTCTGAAAAATTGTAGATGATTTCACTGATGGGAATAAACTTTTTCAGAGTTTCTCTGTAGATTGTCATTTTCTGTCTCTCACAGGGTATTGAATACAAAGTTGGGAAATTCCCATTTGCTGCTAATAGCAGAGCTAAGACAAATGCTGACACAGATGGCATGGTGAAGATTCTTGGGCAGAAGTCAACAGACAGAGTATTGGGAGCACATATTCTAGGGCCAGTGAGTATTGTAAAACCAGAAATTCCATTAAGATTTTTGGGCCCAGCCGGGCGTGGCTCAGCGGTTTAGCATCAGCCTGGGATCCAGGCGATCAGGGTTCGATTCCCGGTCAGGGCACATGCCTGGGCTGCGGGCTTGGTCAGTGACTCATCATTGATGCTTCTCTCTCTCTCTCCCTCTCCTTTCCTCTCTCTGAAATCAATAAAGATATATTTAAAAAAAAAAAAGAAAAGATTTTTGGAAATCATTGCTATTTAGTAGATTGATTTAAAACCGCCAGGTGTTTACATTCTGAGGTTATATTTACCAGTCAAGTTTGAATATAGTCTCTTTGTGCATCATTTCTAGCAAGGTACCAGCAACACTCTCACAGTCTTGCCCACCATATCATCTACTTTTCCACACTGCAGCTATGAGTATCCTTTTAAAACATGCACCAGCAGACTTAGACAGAGTCCTCACTAAATCTGGTCCTACCTACCTTTCTGACCTCATCTCTTTCTATTCTTCCTTTTTGTTTGTTAATCCCTGCATCGTGGGCCTTCTCTCTCAAATTCATAACAGGTCAAACTTGTTCTTTTTAGAGCTTTTGTGCTTGTAGTAGTACCCTTTGCTTAGAATGCTCTGCCTCCAGATCTTTGCATGATTGGCTCATTTACTATTCATGTCTTAGCTCAAGCGTTGTCTTCTAAGAGAAGCCTTTTCTGCCACTGAATCTGAAGCATGCCCTCCCCCTAGGTATCTGATGTAACAATCATGAAAGTAGAACATTTGAGTTCCTACTCTAATTTTCCCTAAATACATGCATTAACTTTAATTTTCACAACTCTGTGGGATAGGAATTGCTATTCCCATTTTTGAGGCAAATAAGTGGAATGAAGTAGTCTGTGAGTACTTGAAGTAGAAAGTGGTAGGATTTGAATCCAGAGCCCAAGCTCTTGACTTCTGTGCCGTCTTTTCTGTTAAGCTCTTCCTGACTGGAGGAAGTTAGTGAACTGCTCTTACAACTAATCTGTACCATTAGTGTGGTTGTTTCGCCATGAAAATAATTATTTCTTGGCTTACTGTTTTAAAGGGTGCTGGTGAAATGGTAAATGAAGCTGCTCTTGCATTGGAATATGGAGCATCCTGTGAAGATATAGCTAGAGTCTGTCATGCTCATCCGGTAATTATTAACAGCATAACAGAGTTAATGGCTACTAAATTTTCTTCTGACCCACAAGTCCTTGATTTTTAATATTAAATTTCTTCCCTTGCAGACCTTATCAGAAGCTTTTAGAGAAGCAAACCTGGCTGCATCATTTGGCAAATCAATCAACTTTTAAAAAGAAGATTATATTTTTTTCCTGAAATTTCTTGGGAGTTTTTAGAGATCACGTTTCTGAACAGGATATGCTCACAGCTCCAAGAATTTCTAGGACTGAATTATGAAACTTTTGGAAGTTATTTAATTGGTTTGGACAGAAGGGAATAATCTCATATCTGTATTTTAAATAAATTTAATATTTTGTTTTGGTGCATTAATATTGCAAAAGAAAAGCTACTTATAGTAGCACCCTGGAAAATTTTCTTCAACACATAATTCTATGCTGTTTGTGAAAGGTTCAACTTCACTGAATTTATGCTAAGTAGCTTTTATCTCTCTAGTATAGTAAAATTAGATTTACTTATTACATGAATGGAGCTGGAGTATGGTATGTGAACAGCTGTGTTTGAAGCAAGGTGATCAAGTTATTTTAAACTTGTTTTTCATATTGGACATAAGAGTCATTAGAATAAGACTTAAATATGTATAAACTGAACTCATGTAAATAAAATATGATCATCTATCACTTGGTTTATTTAATCCCCAAATTCTTGTAGTTTAGAGGTAGAATTTATGTGTTTAGATTCTTAAGCTGCCATTGAGGTCTGTAGTCTGAAGTATATAATTAACCAAATTAAGGAGATATATCAGCAAAATTCAAATGTTAAATAGCAACTCATGTATTACAATGGGAAATTAAGAAATGAAAATAAATCTTTCTTAAATATTCATTCTGAGTGGATATCAAGATGGTCTGAATTCTTTTATGACTGCCTCTTGTGTGTATTGTTTTTTTTTTTAATTTATCTTTACTGTTGAGAGTATTACAGATGTCTCCCATTCCCCTCCCCCTTTGCCCTCCTCCACCCTGCTCCCACCCCCACACCAGGCCTTCACCGCATTATTATCTGTGTCCATGGGCTATGCATATATTCATATAAGTAGTTCTTTGGTTAACCTCTTCCTCCATCCCCCCCCCCCACCAGATCTGTCAGTCTGTTCCATGCTTCCACGTCTCTGGACCTCTCTTGTTCATTAGATTCCATATATAAGTGAGATGTGCTAGTTGTCTTTCTTTGATTGGCTTATTTTGTTTAACATAATAATCTCCAGGTCCATCTCTGCTGCATAGTTGTAAGCTTAATTGTTTTGTTTTAAATCCTTAACCAAGGATATGTTTTTTATTTTTTATAGAGAGAGGAAGGGAGAGAGAGAGAGAAAGAAACATCGATGAGAGAGAAACATCCATATTGGTTTCCTCCCATATGCACCCCGACCTGGGATTGAACCCCCAACCTTGGTATGTTCCCTAACGGAATCAAAGTCACAACGTTTTAGTGTATGGGATGAAGCTCCATCTAACTGAGCCACCTGACCAGGGCTTATTACTCATTATTGTGGCTCTTATAAGCCTGGATGAACCTTTTCTCCACATTGTAGTGTTAAGGCATTTAAAAGATCATTACCCTTCCATCTGTTTTAATGATACCTACACTAAATGTTTAGCTTATACAATGTAAGGAAATCTTTAATTTGCTGTCTTTTCCTATGTAGATTTTCACTGTGTATACTTGGCTTGATAAATGACTATTTCTTTAAAGAGTGCTATAAAATTTTATTTATGGGTAAATATTTAAAAATGGCCATTTCTTGAAATATTTAAATGAGTGTTAAATGACAAATAGGCTTTTGCCTATATTAACTAAATTAAAAATAATTTTAGATTAAGTAGTTCTCAAATCTGGGATAGGATAAATTTAAAGAGGAAAATTATCTTAAATTACTAGAAATATGCAAACTAGATATTCACTTGATTGAAATTTAAAGGTTATACTGGTCTTAAGGAAAGTTTGGAGAATGTAATTTATCAGCAGAAAGCTGCAGGGAATAAAATACCATCAGTTGATCATAGCTAAAAGGAGTTTAATAGTCCTCAGGCTTTAATTTTATTTATGTGGGTCACATTTTCCTTTTTCTTATGTCCAGTGGTCCTGGATTGCATATGATTCTTCTGAATGATACAATGTAAAGACTCTGGATTCTGTTACATACATCTAAAAAATAGTGGATTTTTGTTTTAGTAGGCAGTTAACTTGGCTGACCTCTACTCCAAACTTATCTTTGTTGGGGACAGCAGCTGAGATCTCGGGTGTTTTACCTTTACCTGGCTGCCTGAAGTCTGTTCCATCCGTGTGTAGTTCACTGGTCAACCAGAGATTGGACTAAGTACACAATTTGGGGGGGTCCTGTCCTCTGCCTCTCTTTTTTGGTGGTTCCCTCCCTCCTATTTCAGTTGTGGTTGCCCTAAATTTTGTCTTCCAAGTCTTTAACCAGTAAAACTTGGTGTCTGCCCAGGTTGCCACTTACTGGGATCTTCCCTCAAGTGAAAAGTTAAAAATGGGAATTTCATCCAATGCTAATTTTCTTGAATGTTGACCCCCCTCTACCTTCTGCCTGCTTGGTTATTCTCTTATCTTTACTTTAGGGGGAGCAAAAACACATTTTGCTCAGAGTTTGCAGTTGTTAGCAGCAGGAGGGTTGGTCTGATCTGTGCTATTTACCATTATTGGAAATGAACTCTGCATCTTCAAAAATCTGAAATCGCAATATTATTTGAGGTGCTAGTTTATTTAAACCTCAAACATGTCTCCTGGGGAAAAAGTTGCTAATTAGGGAATAGTGAAATATAATTTAATATGAAGTCCTAGCTTTAGAGAGAGACAATAAATTCAACTTTAAGGGTTCCCATTCAATATGGGAATGCAAATTTATTGGGGTGGGGCTGATACAAAACAAATTTTAAATGTCTACTTACTATTTACTAAGTCCGAAATACTTTTCTTGGCTTGTGAAAGGTGGGGCCGAGTTAGTTGTCCAGTTCATTAAGCTGATTAAAATTAGTAGTTTCAAAGTGAGATCTTTAGTTGTTCAGCTGTAAAGGAGTGGGAGTAGTGACGATTTCTATTTTAAGTAAAACGGTAAAAAAAATACTTAGTTCTAGTAGGTGATAGGTGATATGGTATTACCCTTTGTTAGTTATTAGGATTCCTACCTAAGTAAAAGTGACAAATAATTGCCTTCAACCAGAGGTAAGTTGCCTTATTGTTTAAATTACAGCTGTTTACATAACTTTTGTTCAAGGCCCATCTTCCAATTCAGCTGTGTTGGATGTGTGGGTGGTGGTTAAGTATACACAGAATAATAGTCTTGCTCTAAGAAGAATGTCTGAAAAAATCACTTAGCACCCGGCCTGTTATTCAGCTAGCTCAGCTATAAAGTTGACACAGGCTTCAGAGTTGTATTCCAGCTATTTTCTTTAGAATTCATGTGATTGTTTTGGCCTCACCTGCAGATCTTAGCAGAGAATCTGTAGTTTGCGAATTAAAATACAATATAAAAGCTGAGAAATTACAGCATCATTCTGTACTTTTGAGTAGCACTGCTCAATTGGCAGCTACAATGTAAACTCTGACCCGCTTTAATTTAAATCTTCCCCATAGCAACCCTGAACCTATTCTAGGTGGTAATACTTAAAAGCCACAACTTCCTAAAAATTGCTGCTTTTTGTTCTCTTTCCTACAGCAAGGAATACTATAGGAGCTTTGGAGATGGGAGCAACTGAGCAGCCACTGAAATTGTGAAAGCTCAGGCTCTATCCTTATCCAGAAATCACTGGGAGGTGATTTTGGGGTGGATTTATGAAGGATATTGACCTAGCAAACAGATGAGTAACAGCTTGTATATAGACAACAGAAATTAGGGTCTCCATGGAGGCAATCAACTTGTTTATAAGTCCATCTTTACGTGAACATTAAATCAGTAAAAGTAACAATTCAAGAAGTATACTAAACATTAATACAAAAGCACTGTACTTTATTAAACTCCATACAAAACGTGGGGATTAAAAACATTAAATAGGCCATGAGTTTTACTTTGAAGATCAGTAAATCAGTTTAAAATGTAGCTATTTTACTTTGGTCACTGCAGCCAGCTTACACCCCTTCCTCCTCCTTACAAGCAGGTGCTGTAAACAGTAACTTTCTGGCTTATATCCTTTAGGAGTGAACGGACTTCTCCTTCCAATCTTACTAATTCTTGAGCTTTATCTTCTAAATATTTTTGATTGTCCTCATATTTTCTTTCTAAATCTGTGAGAGATAAAAAGAAAAAGTCTGAGCAATTTATACTGTGATGATCTCAAGATCTAATTGCTAATTATTTTTGCTTACAAGGCTCTATTAAGCACTCAAGGCAAAGTGAATGGATTTTCACCTTTTACATAAGAAACTGGATGTATTTACTTTAAAATACTTTATGAAAGCATTAAGTTAAGTAAAAAGAACTACCTTTCAGCAGTTGCAGTTTGCTATTTGCTTGAGCCAAAAGTGTTTTTGCTTCATTTTGTAGCATTTCGGCTTTCCTTCTGGCATCAGCTGACTCTTCAGTTTTTTTGGCAATTAAATTTTCTACTTTCTTATATTTTTCATCAAGTTCACCATCCAGAGTCTGCAGTTCCACATTTAGCCATAAAGTAGTGATAATGTTAGTGTCAGTAATTATATTTAAGAGCAGAACATAGTATAATCGTGGCAAATTTGGATCACATAGATACTAACTTGTACAGCAAGCATTCTGGATTAAGGGTCACTATCAAGGGGACTCAGGCTTCAAGCTATTCAATGGTAATTGAAAACATCTTGAAACAGCGAATTAAATGCAACATTGACCTGATTTTAAAAAACATTTTTGGAGTTGTAACACGTCCCTAGAGCTAAGCCTTCTTTCTTCTGCTGATTAGCACTTTTCTATGCAGAGAGAATAAGATTTTCTCAAAAGTAGATGTGCTAAAATCCAAACATTTAGACCTTAAAAAAGGGTCATTTTGAAGAAATGGAAGGAGGACCGTTTCTGGATTCCTGACTAATGTAGGGTTTGTAGAGACTTGATACCAGGAAATCTGAGGGAAAAGGCAGATTTAATGAAGGGTGAGATTATAAGTGGGTGGTTGAGAGGAGAAATTGGTGTAGGTTTGGAAAGATGGTTACAAGTGATTCTTCTGAGAAACACTTTGAATAACAGCCATCAATAATAGGAATTTTATGTCAAAGGGTTTTGTTCTTTGTTGTAATCAAATGTCATATTTATGCAAAATGCTCTCTAAGAAGATTATTTGGGAGACTCAGGCTCTCAGAATCACAGGAAATGAGTAGAAAGAGTAGAAAAGAGATTTAGAAGTGAAATTTTCTTACTGTTTTGTTCTCCCCACCCCAGAGGTATCGGATAGTCACTATGTTAATTCAAAATGGGTGCAGAAGGGGTGAGATGTTGGTTCCCCTCCTACCAGATGTTCTCTGTTATGAAACTCTAAGCTTCTTCTACACTGCTTTTAAAGATTTCTCAAATGGCCAGGTAATTACTGTATGCCATAAAGACCTTCCTGATTGAAATACAGAAATAAATGCTCAATATGCTTGTTTTAAGACTTCCACCCCTAAGTTAAATTCATTTTCTAAACCCCATCCATGTTTGGATTTGAGGGCCTAGGTTCATGCTTATCGGATACTTTCATATCCATTCCCATTCTTTTCTATCTGTGTCTTTAAAGACTGCTCTGTCAGAGCAGGTCACTTGGGATGTTTCTGATGACATATTACAGCTGTGTTTCTTATTTATTCCAAGGAAGGCAGTGAGGGGCCTCGTTTGCTCCTTGATCACCACAGCTGTGAAGTTACAAAGA